CGAACCACAGAGAGTGACAAGGTTTTAAAAACCGGGTTTACATGGCAACAAATGATTAAAATTTTAAAATACACAAACTTCATCAGACCCCGGGGGCCCCTTTATCCCCATGACCAGAAATGTCTCCAACCCCACCAATTATAAAAGAAATTAATTTTATTTAAAAAAGTGATTTATCAAAAATATAGTTTTCTGCTTATTAGCGGACTTGCCTGACACTGGCCTCATTCCTCACCAAACACTGGTGCAAGAGACCATTCCCCCTGGGTGCAAGACCTTTAAAAGGGATAAAATAAAAAAAAAGAAAGGAAAAAAAGAAAAAAAAAGAAAAAAAAAAAGAAAGAAAAAAGAAGAAAAAAAAGAAAGAAAAAAAAAGAAAGAAAAAAAAGAAAGAAAAAAAAGAAAAAAAAAAAAGAAAGAAAAAAGAAAGAAAAAAAAGAAAGAAAAAAAGAAAAAAAAAAGAAAACTAGGAAATTTTTTCTGCACCCACCCATCAGACCTGTAGTTTCATATCATTAACTATAGCATCACCAGTAACACCATTATAACAGGGGTCAAACAACACACTATAAACATCAACCAATCACACCATTATAACAGGGTCAACAACACCACTATAACATCAACCAATCACACCATTATAACAGGGTCAACAACACCACTATAACATCAACCAATCACACCATTATAACAGGGTCAACAACACCACTATAACATCAACCAATCACACCATTATAACAGGGTCAACAACACCACTATAACATCAACCAATCACACCATTATAACAGGGTCAACAACACCACTATAATAACATCAACCAATAACACCACTATAATAACATCAACCAATAACACCACTATAATTACATCAACCAATCACACCATTATAACAGGGTCAACAACACCATTACAACATCAACCAGTAACACCATTATAACAGGATCAACAACACCACTATAACATCAATCAGGGTCAACAATACCATTATAACATCCCACTAACATAACATTACAACATAACACATATGTTAAAAGGACCACTAACAACACATACAATAACATTACAACCACTAACATCACATACACAGGGTACAACCACTAACATCACATACAATAATGTTACAACTAACATCACACTAAACAATGTTACAACCACTAACATCACACTCAACAATGTTAAAATCACTAACATCATACAACAATGTTACATCCACCAACATCACACAATGTTACAACACTAACATCACATACAATAATGTTACAACCACTAATCATCATAATGTTACAACCACTAACATCACAACAATGTTACAACCACTAACATCACATACAATAATGTTACAACCACCACTAACATCACATACAATAATGTTACAACCACATAACATCACATACAATAATGTTACAACCACTAACATCACATACAATAAACACAAACAACCACTAACATCACATACAATAATGTTACAACCACTAACATCACATACAATAATGTTACAACCACTAACATCACATACAATAACATTACAACCACTAACATCACATACAATAACATTACAACCACTAACATCACATACAATAATGTTACAACCACTAACATCACATACAATAATGTTACAACCACTAACATCACATACAATAACATTACAACCACTAACATCACATTACAATAAACAACCACTACTAACATCACATACAATAATGTTACAACCACTAACATCACATACAACAACCACTACATCACATACACTAATGTCACAACCACCAATAAACATACAAACATGTTACAACACACTAACATCACATACAATAATGTTACAACCACTAACATCACATACAATAATGTTACAACCACTAACATCACATACAATAATGTTACAACCACTAACATCACATACAATAATGTTACAACCACTAACATCACATACAACAATGTTACAACCACTAACATCACATACAACAATGTTACAACCACTAACATCACATACAACAATGTTACAACCACTAACATCACATACAATAATGTTACAACCACTAACATCACATACAATAATGTTACAACCACTAACATCACATACAATAATGTTACAACTAACATCACACTACACAATGTTACAACCACTAACATCACATACAATAATGTTACAACCACTAACATCACATACAATAACGTTACAACCACTAACATCACATACAATAACATTACAACCACTAACATCACATACAATAATGTTACAACCACTAACATCACATACAATAACACACAACCTCACATAATAACATGTTACAACCACTAACAACATACAATAATGTTACAACCACTAACATCACATACAATAATGTTACAACCAATCACATCAACATGTTACAACACTACAACATCACAATACAATAATGTTACAACCACTAACATCACATACAATAAATGTTACAACCAACTAACACATACAATAATGTTACAACCACTAAAATCACATACAATAATGATACGACCACTAACACACACAATAATGTTACAACCACTAACATCACATACAATAACATTACAACCACTAACACATACACATTACAAAATGTTACAACCACTAACATCACATACAATAATGTTACAACCACTAACATCACATACAATAATGTTACAACCACTAACATCACATACAATAATGTTACAACCACTAACATCACATCAACCACAACAATGTTACAAACCACTAACATCACATACAATAACATTACAACCACTAACATCACATACAATGTTACAACCACTAACATCACATACAACAAACAACCACTAACATCACATACATGTTACAACCACTAACATCACATACAATAATGTTACAACCACTAACATCACATACAATAATGTTACAACCACTAACATCACATACAATAACATTACAACCACTAACATCACATACACAATGTTACACACACTAACATCACATACAACAATGTTACAACCACTAACATCACATAAATAATGTTACAACCACTACATACGCACACAACCAGTAACATCCATACAATAACATTACAACCACTAACACACATACAACAATGTTACACCACTAACATCACATACAATAACATTACAAACCACTACATCACATACAATAACATTACAACCACAACATCACATACACAATGTTACAACCACTAACATCACATACAAATAATGTACAACCACTAACATCACATACAACAATGTTAACAACCACTAACATCACATACAATAATGTTACAAACCACTATAACATCACATACAATAAACAACCATAACATCACATACAAACACATACAATAAACAACAAAACATAACACCATTACAACATGTTACAACACACTAACATCACATACAATAACTATTACAACCACTAACATCACATACAACAATGTTACAAACACTAACATCACATACAACAATGTTACAACCACTAACATCACATACAAAAGGGTCAACAACACCACTACACATCAACATCACAACCATTATAACACAGTCAACAAACACATCCACATACAATAACATCAACCACTAACATCACATCACACAACAATAATACAACAACACTAACATCACATACAATAATGTTACAACCACTAACACCACACCATAACATGTTACAACCAATAACATCACTACAATAATGTTACATCAACAACACCACTACAATAACATACAACCAATCACACCATTATAACAAGGTTCAACACTAACATCACTATACAAACATCAACCAATAACACCATTATAACAGGGTCACAAACACCACTATAACATCAAACCATGTTACAACCACAGGGTCAACAACACCATAATATACAACCACTAACATCACATACAATGTTACAACAACACAACTACAATAACATACAACCAATCACACAATCAATTATAACACTAACTATCAACAACACCACTGTTACAACCAACATCACAACCAATGTTACAACCACTACACACCAATATCTAATAACAAGACCAACACAATACAACCAATAACACACATACTATAATTACAACCACAACCAATCACACCATTATAACAGGGTCAACAACACCATTACAACATCAACCAATCACACCATTATAACAGGATCAAGAACTCCACTAAAACATCAACCAGTAACACCATTATAACAGGATCAACAACACCACTATAACATCAATCAGGGTCAACAACACCATTATAACATCAACCAGGGTCAACAACACCACTATAACATCAACCAATCACACCATTATAACAGAAACATTACAACCACAACATCACACTAACCACAACATCAACCAATAACACTATTTTAAAAGGATCAACAACAAACACTACAACATCAACACAATAAACAGGGTCAACAACACAACTATAACATCAACATACAATAAACAGGGTACAACTAACACCACTACAAACATAAACCAATCACACCATTATACATAAGGATCAAGAACATCACACTACAAAACATACAACCAGTAACACCATACAATAACAGGATTAACTAACACACACTATAACACACATAACATCACCATACAACATATGTTACAACAACAACAACACACTATAACATCCCAACATCACTACAAGGGTCAACAACACTAACTATAACATCAAACCAATAACACATTGAACAATCAACATCACACCACTATAACATCAACCAATCACACCATTATAACAGAGTCAACATCACACACAAACTTTACACATAAACCACATACACTATTTTAAAAGGATCAACAACACCACTATAACATCAACCAGTAACACCATTATAACAGGATCAACAACACCACTATAACATCAATCAGGGTCAACAACACCATTATAACATCAACCAGGGTCAACAACACCACTATAACATCAACCAATCACACCATTATAACAGGGTCAACAACACCACTATAACATCAACCAATAACACTATTGTAAAAGGATCAACAACACCACTATAACATCAACCAATCACACCATTATAACAGAGTCAACAACACAACTTTAACATCAACCAATAAAACTATTTTAAAAGGATCAACAACACCACTATAACATCAACCAATAAACAGGGTCAACAACACCACTATAACATCCAACAATAAACAGGGTAAACAACACCACTATAACATAAACCAATCACACCATTATAACGGTGAACTTCACTACAATAACATCAATCAATAACACCATTATAACAGGATCAACAACACCACTATAACATCAACAACATCACAATAACATCAACAACACCACTATAACATCAACAACACCACTATAATATCAACAACACCACTACAGCACTGACCACCAATAACATTAATACAACTGACCGTCTAAGAGGCCTGCCCAGACAAGCACGCAGTTTCTCATTGAATGTCCTGCGAGGAGCCTGGTACTTATGGGCAACACTGTTGGGCGGGAACCACACAGAGGAACTCGTTGACTGCCCATCTGCTGCCCTCAGAGTGCTGCTTTTACTGCAGTCAGGGCTCACAGGTGTGGGTGACTTCAGTCTAGCCCTGGTCACTTCAGACGAGCCGCAACTGTTGGAGGAGATGTTTGTGGGGTGAGCTCCAGTGGGCTGTCTGTCTCTGACAACCTGCTGGAATCACACAACAGAAATCAATAGAGATGTGCATATCAGTTCTACAGCCACAATGTGAAATGACAGTGACAAGAAAAACACTGACCGAGCTACAGAAAGTCACTTATCAAAGATTAATCAATCTTCTTCTTCGGTGATCAACATTGACTATGCTTCTACCGTCAACACAATGGTGTGTCTGAGTTTTTGATAAACCCTCACAAGCTGTCACAGTGATTCTCCTGGAAAAGTTGGATTATCATCCGCTGGTACAATCTGGGCAGGAACAGACTGCTGAATGAGTTAACACTGCTGAATGAGCTAACACTGCTGAATGAGCTAACACTGCTGAATGAGTTAACACTGCTGAATGAGCTAACACTGCTGAAGGAGCTAACAGTGCTGAATGAGCTAACACTGCTGAATGAGCTAACACTGCTGAAGGAGCTAACACTGCTGAAGGAGCTAACATTGCTGAATGAGCTAACTGTTGAATAAGACAACACTGCTGAAGGAACTAGCAGTGCTGAATGAGTAAACACTGCTGAAGGAGCTAACACTGCTGAATGAGCTAACAGTGCTGAATGAGCTAACACTGCTGAATGAGCTAACACTGCTAAATGAGCTAACACTGCTGAAGGAGCTAACACTGCTGAAGGAGCTAACATTGCTGAATGAGCTAACTGTTGAATAAGACAACACTGATGAAGGAGCTAACATTGCTGAATGAGCTAACACTGATGAATGGCCTAACAGTGTGGAATGTGCTAACACTGCTGAATGAGCTAACATTGCGGAATGAGCTAACATTGCTGAATGAGCTAACACTGCTGAAGAAGCTAATATTGCTGAATGAGCCAACACTGCTGAATGAGCCAACACTGCTGAATGAGCTAACACTGCTGAATGAGCTAACACAGACACAAATCACTGCTTCAGGCCAGTTACAGCCAAGTGACCATAAACAGTAAAAGGTAACGAATGAGCCAACAAGCTGGCAAGTAATGCAACTATGCATGTAGTAAGAAGCACGGACAGAGCTGATATCATCAAAGCTGTGTAGACTAGGCTGACAGATAATGATGAATCTCTGATGCTAACACGGTTACATGACCTATGAGTAAAGCTTGGTGAAGCACATCAATGAATTCTGTCTTCAAGGCCAAATCAGGAGACACTATAACTCATGGGAACAATAAGTAGAGGTATCTTGAAGTGGCTGCTGAATCGGAGGTCTGCGCATGCACGGAAACGCCTAATGTGCAGTGACCGACTGTGACAACATTACATTACGCTGATAAGTACCATATTAAAACAGATCCCACTTACAGGCTTTCTGAAGTAATTCTCATCAACACGGGGCCGGCTCCCTCTCAGAGAGATACTGTACTGTCTCAGACTCTGCCTCCTCCCGTTTCCTCTCATCACCCCATCTGTCCTGTCCTGACAGCTGGTATCCTCACTGTCCTGGCTGTTGCTGGATCTCAAACTGTCTCGGCAGCTCTCACCATCTGAGTGACTGTCGGAACTGTCCGAGAGTGACACCCCTTGGTCAAGACTGTGTGTAAAATGGTCCTGGCATCTCCTTTTTCTGAAAGTAGAAGCACATCTTCAACATCTACGTGTGATGCAATTCTAGCCAGCACACACGAAACATAAAGCACGCTTCAAAAATAATGTTACCACACACCCACGCAACAATGCTTAACACTAAACAGTCTAGTCTAGTCTATCACTTAGGAATCCAAAACTGGAATCTAACTTATCCTTAACAGTTGGGCTATTCAAATGTCGGTCCAAAGGCCAAATCTGACCCACAGGGGCCTGGCAAGTGTTCCGTGGTTTATCTGCCAATTATATTGTATTAATGATCTTTCTCTGTCGGGGCTCAGGTCAATGGCCTTATTCTACATGCCTAGCTCCATTCTTCACCACAAGCCTACCTCCATTCCTCACAACAAGCCTACCTCCATCCCTCACAACAAGCCTACCTCCATCCCCACAACAAGCCTACCTCCATCCATCATAACAGGTCTACCATCATCCTTCACAACAAGCGCCTACCTTTATCCCTCACAAAAAGCCTACTTCTATCCCTCACAACAAGCCTACCTCCATCCCTCACAACAAGCCTACCTCCATCCATCATAACAGGCCTACCATCATCCTTCACAACAAACGCCTACCTTTATCCCTCACAAAAAGGCCTACTTCTATCCCTCACAACAAGCCTACCTCCATCCCTCATAAAAAGCCTACCTCTATCCCTCACAACAAGCCTACCTCCATCCCTCACAACAAGCCTACCTCCATCCCTCACAACAAGCCTACCTCCATCCCTCACAACAAGCCTACCTCCATCCCTCACAACAAGCCTACCTCTATCCCGCACAACAAGCCTACCTCTATCCCTCACAACAAGCCTACCTCCATCCCTCACAACAAGCCTACCTCCATCCCTCACAACATGCCACCTACAACCATCTCTACGGGCCCAATCGACCTACCACACAAACCTATCTCTGACTCATCCTATAAGCCATCCCTGACTCTCCCAACAGGCCACCTCCATCTCTCACAGGCCACCTCCGTCTCTCACAGGCCACCTCCGTCTCTCACAGGCCACCTCCGTCTCTCACGGGCCACCTCCGTCTCTCACAGGCCACCTCAGTCTCTCACAGGCCACCTCCGTCTCTCACAGGCCACCTCCGTCTCTCACAAAGTGAACAACTTACCTAAGAACTGGAGGTGAGTCTACTTGGGACACATCAGGCTGGGAGAGACCTGCATCTCTAGCCATCTTGAAATGCTGTCGGACAGGTTCCAACCTGGCTCGGATATCAGAGTCGTCAAGTTCATCACCTTCATTACTGTTGTTACTGACAGTAGATAAAGGGCGCAAGGGTGTCTTCTGTGGAAAATCATTAGCTCCTTATATTTGCATCATACTTAATGGCATTGACAGTTATGTCTATCCACAACCTACTTATAGTCCATGTTGTGTGGTGTTGGTAGTTATGTCTACCTACAACCTACTTATAGTCCATGTTGTGTGGTGTTGGTAGTTATGTCTATCCACAACCTACTTATAGTCCATGTTGTGTAGTGTTGGTAGTCATGTCTATCCACAACCTTCTTATAGTCCATGTTGTGTGGTGTTGGTAGTTATGTCTACCCACAACCTACTTATAGTCCATGTTGTGTAGTGTTGGTAGTCATGTCTATCCACAACCTTCTTATAGTCCATGTTGTGTAGTGTTGGTAGTCAAGTCTATCCACAACCTTCTTATAGTCCATGTTGTGTGGTGTTGGTAGTTATGTCTACCCACAACCTACTTATAGTCCATGTTGTGTAGTGTTGGTAGTTATGTCTATCCACAACCTTCTTATAGTCCATGTTGTGTGGTGTTGGTAGTTATGTCTACCTACAACCTACTTATAGTCCATGTTGTGTAGTGTTGGTAGTTATGTCTACCCACAACCTTCTTGTAGTCCATGTTGTGTGGTGTTGGTAGTTATGTCTATCCACAACCTACTTATAGTCCGTGTTGTGTGGTGTTGGTAGCTATGTCTACCTACAACCTTCTTATAGTCCATGTTGTGTGGTGTTGGTAGTTATGTCTACCCACAACCTACTTATAGTCCATGTTGTGTGGTGTTGGTAGTTATGTCTACCTACAACCTACTTATAGTCCATGTTGTGTGGTGTTGGTAGTTATGTCTATCCACAACCTACTTATAGTCCATGTTGTGTAGTGTTGGTAGTCATGTCTATCCACAACCTTCTTATAGTCCATGTTGTGTGGTGTTGGTAGTTATGTCTACCCACAACCTACTTATAGTCCATGTTGTGTAGTGTTGGTAGTCATGTCTATCCACAACCTTCTTATAGTCCATGTTGTGTAGTGTTGGTAGTCAAGTCTATCCACAACCTTCTTATAGTCCATGTTGTGTGGTGTTGGTAGTTATGTCTACCCACAACCTACTTATAGTCCATGTTGTGTGGTGTTGGTAGTTATGTCTACCCACAACCTACTTATAGTCCATGTTGTGTGGTGTTGGTAGTTATGTCTACCCACAACCTACTTATAGTCCATGTTGTGTGGTGTTGGTAGTTATGTCTATCCACAACCTACTTATAGTCCGTGTTGTGTGGTGTTGGTAGCTATGTCTACCTACAACCTTCTTATAGTCCATGTTGTGTGGTGTTGGTAGTTATGTCTACCCACAACCTACTTATAGTCCATGTTGTGTGGTGTTGGTAGTTATGTCTACCTACAACCTTCTTATAGTCCATGTTGTGTGGTGTTGGTAGTTATGTCTACCTACAACCTACTTATAGTCCATGTTGTGTGGTGTTGGTAGTTATGTCTATCCACAACCTTCTTATAGTCCATGTTGTGTGGTGTTGGTAGTTATGTCTACCTACAACCTTCTTGTAGTCCATGCCATGTGGTGTTGATAGTTATGTCTACCTACAACCTACTTATAGTCCATGTTATGTGGTGTTGGTAGTTATGTCTACCTACAACCTACTTATAGTCCATGTTGTGTGGTGTTGGTAGTTATGTCTACCTACAATCTTCTTATAGTCCATGTTGTGTGGTGTTGGTAGTCATGTCTATCCACAACCTACTTATAGTCCATGTTGTGTGGTGTTGGTAGTTATATGTCCACAACCTACTTATAGTCCATGTTGTGTGGTGTTGGTAGTCATGTCTATCCACAACCTACTTATAGTCCATGTTGTGTGGTGTTGGTAGTCATGTCTATCCACAACCTTCTTATAGTCCATGTTGTGTAGTGTTGGTAGTTATGTCTATCCACAACCTACTTATAGTCCATGTTGTGTGGTGTTGGTAGTCATGTCTATCCACAACCTACTTATAGTCCATGTTGTGTGTTGTTGGTAGTTATGTCTACCCACAACCTTCTTATAGTCCATGTTGTGTGGTGTTGGTAGTTATGTCTACCCACAACCTTCTTATAGTCCATGCCATGTGGTGTTGGTAGTTATGTCTATCCACAACCTACTTATAGTCCATGTTGTGTGGTGTTGGTAGTCATGTCTACCCACAACCTACTTATAGTCCATGTTGTGTGGTGTTGGTAGTTATGTCTACCCACAACCTTCTTATAGTCCATGTTGTGTGGTGTTGGTAGTTATGTCTACCCACAACCTTCTTATAGTCCATGTTGTGTAGTGTTGGTAGTTATGTCTACCCACAACCTTCTTATAGTCCATGTTGTGTGGTGTTGGTAGTTATGTCTACCCACAACCTACTTATAGTCCATGTTATGTGGTGTTGGTAGTTATGTCTACCTACAACCTACTTATAGTCCATGTTGTGTAGTGTTGGTAGTTATGTCTACCTTCAACATTCTTATAGTCCATGTTGTGTAGTGTTGGTAGTTATGTCTACCTACAACCTTCTTATAGTCCATGTTGTGTAGTGTTGGTAGTTATGTCTACCCACAACCTTCTTATAGTCCATGTTGTGTGGTGTTGGTAGTTATGTCTACCTACAACCTACTTATAGTCCATGTTGTGTGGTGTTGGTAGTTATGTCTATCCATAACCTTCTTATAGTCCATGTTGTGTAGTGTTGGTAGTTATGTCTACCTTCAACCTTCTTATAGTCCATGTTGTGTGGTGTTGGTAGTTATGTCTACCTTCAACCTTCTTATAGTCCATGTTGTGTGGTGTTGGTAGTTATGTCTACCTTTAACCTTCTTATAGTCCATGTTGTGTGGTGTTGGTAGTTATGTCTACCTTTAACCTTCTTATAGTCCATGTTGTGTGGTGTTGGTAGTTATGTCTACCACAACCTTCTTATAGTCCATGTCGTGTGGTGTTGGTAGTTATGTCTACCCACAACCTTCTTATAGTCCATGTTGTGTGGTGTTGGTAGTTATGTCTACCTTCAACCTTCTTATAGTCCATGTTGTGTGGTGTTGGTAGTTATGTCTACCTTCAACCTTCTTATAGTCCATGTTGTGTGGTGTTGGTAGTTATGTCTACCTTTAACCTTCTTATAGTCCATGTCGTGTGGTGTTGGTAGTTATGTCTACCTTCAACCTTCTTATAGTCCATGTTGTGTAGTGTTGGTAGTTATGTCTATCCATAACCTTCTTATAGTCCATGTTGTGTGGTGTTGGTAGTTATGTCTACCTTCAACCTTCTTATAGTCCATGTCGTGTAGTGTTGGTAGTTATGTCTATCCATAACCTTCTTATAGTCCATGTTGTGTGGTGTTGGTAGTTATGTCTATCCACAACCTTCTTATAGTCCATGTTGTGTAGTGTTGGTAGTTATGTCTATCCATAACCTTCTTATAGTCCATGTTGTGTGGTGTTGGTAGTTATGTCTATCCACAACCTTCTTATAGTCCATGTTGTGTAGTGTTGGTAGTCATGTCTATCCACAACCTTCTTATAGTCCATGTTGTGTAGTGTTGGTAGTTATGTCTATCCATAACCTTCTTATAGTCCATGTTGTGTGGTGTTGGTATTCATGTCTATCCACAACCTTCTTATAGTCCATGTTGTGTGGTGTTGGTATTTATGTCTATCCACAACCTTCTTATAGTCCATGTTGTGTGGTGTTGGTAGTCATGTCTATCCATAACCTTCTTATAGTCCATGTTGTGTGGTGTTGGTAGTTATGTCTATCCATAACCTTCTTATAGTCCATGTTGTGTAGTGTTGGTAGTCATGTCTATCCACAACCTTCTTATAGTCCATGTTGTGTGGTGTTGGTAATCATGTCTACCTACAACCTTCTTATAGTCCATGTTGTGTGGTATTGGTAATCATGTCTATCCACAACCTTCTTATAGTCCATGTTGTGTGTGTTGGTATTCATGTCTACCTACAACCTTCTTATAGTCCATGTTGTGTGGTATTGGTAATTATGTCTACCCACAACCTTCTTATAGTCCATGCCATGTGGTGTTGATATTCATGTCTACCTACAACCTTCTTATAGTCCATGCTATGTGGTGTTGATAGTTATGTCTATCCACTACCTTCTGTCTAGTGTAAATTCAGTCAGTTCTAACACAGATGATCTTTAATGCCATAATGCCAAACTGTCCAGCATCTTTTCTTTTGGTCTCCCTTTGCCTCTTTTCCCCTCCAACTTTCCCACTGTCAAAATGTACTCCAGTTTTCTCCTTCTCATCACATGACCAAAGAATGTAGATTGTCTCTGATGTGGGCAATCAGTTATCTTCAGGAGTCAGTTTGTTTCAAGACATTTTCATTACTCTTTGTTTTTTGTCCAGGATTTTCTCATTGTTTGTCTATAAAACCACTTTTTCACCACTTGCATATAACTGTTCAATAATCGATCAACCCTAAATTATTCACTTCACTGTGACCTTAACCTTAAAAAAAATACATAAATATTGGAAAGCTCAACTCCCGTCCCCTTCCTCCAACTTGATTCTGTCTCTCTCTCTCTCTCACACATGCACACACAAGTACCTCAGCTATTTTAATGTCTGCCCTCTTCTGTTCTTGTCTGTGTTTACGGAGTGATCTTCCCCTGAGAGGGATCTTGTTGCTGCTGGGTTTACGTAAAGTCTGTCTGTCATCACAGATTTTCCTGTCAGGTAGACCAAATCAAATGTTACAAGAGTTATATTTGTTGTGACGACGTGTTGAAAAAAACATTCACTTACAACAACCAAAGAATACAAAAGAAACTCACCAGAGACACACAAAAACTCACCAGAGACACAGAAATTTCCCATAGACTCAAAAAAAAACTCACCAGACACAGAAAGCTAAACTGAGTTAAAAAAGCACAAGAACTGCATCTGACAAGTAAATATAGGAAACTCACTGGCGAAAAAGAAACACATGATAAACAAAAGAAACAAGCAAACCACTGAACAAAGAAAATTCAGGAAACTCATTACAGCGAGAGCAATACAGGGAAACTCATCATAGAGAAAGTAATATAGGGAACTCATCATAGAAAAGTAATATAGGAAAGTCATCACAGAGAAAGTAATATATGGAACTCATCATAGAAAAGTAATATAGGAAACTCATCACGGAGAAAGTAATATATGGAACTCATCATAGAAAAGTAATATAGGAAACTCATCACAGAGAAAGTAATATAAGGAACTCATCATAGAAAAGTAATATAGGAAACTCATCACAGAGAAAGTAATATAGGGAACTCATCATAGAAAAGTAATATAGGAAACTCATCACAGAGAAAGTAATATAGGGAACTCATCATAGAGAAAGTAATATAGGAAACTCATCATAGAAAAGTAATATAGGAAACACATCATAGAAAAATAATATAAGAAACTCATCATAGAAAAGTAATATAGGAAACTCATCATAGAAAAGTAATATAGGAAACTCATAACATAAAAGTAATATTGGGAACTCATCATAGAAAAGTAATATAGGAAACTCATCATCGAAAAGTAATATAGGAAACTCATCATCGAAAAGTAATATAGGAAACTCATCATAGAAAAGTAATATATAATAGGAAACTCATCATATAAAAAAAATTTAGGAAACTCATCATAGAAAAGTAATATAGGAAACTCATCATAGAAAAGTAATATAGGAAACTCATCACAGAAAAGTAATATAGGAAACTCATCACTAAAAAAATATAGGGAACTTATCATAGAAAAGTAATAAAGGGAACTCATCAGAGAGAAATAATATAGGAAACTCATCATAAAAAAGTAATATCGGGAACTCATCACAGAAAAGTAATAAAGGAAATTCATCACAGAAAGTAACATAGGAAACTCATAATAGAGAAAGTAATATGGGGAACTCATAATAGAGAAAGTAAAATAGGGAACTCATCATAGAAAAGCAATAACGGGAAATCATCATAGAATAAGTAATATAGGGAACTCATTTTGGAGAAAGTAATATAGGATAGTTATCAGAAAAAAAGAAATTACAAGGATAAACAAAGAAAAAACATGAGAAACTCATCGGAGACAAAATTTGACTGAAGTATGAGAAAAGAAAACAGGTAGGGAGTGCAACAACCAACCATATTAATTATAACATGAAATACGAGGTAAGAATTACATGACATTAGGTCTTATAAATACATAATGAAGCAGCAGAACAACAAAGGCATAATGAAACAGCAACACGACGAAGACATAATGAAACAGCAGAATAATGAACACATAATGAAACAGCATAACAATAAAGACATAATGAAACAGCAGAACTATGAACACATAATGAAACAGCAGAACAATGAAAACAAGATGAAACAGTAGAACAATGAAGACATAATGAAACAGCAGAACAATTAAGACATAATGAAACAGCAGAACAATGAAGACATAATGAAACAGCAGAACAATGAACACATAATGAAGGATTTAAAAAATGACAAGATACCTAAGACATACAATGTAATGAAACAATTTCTTAAGTGACCAGATTTCCTAGGCTTTATTCTAAAAAAAAAAATGACCTCACATTAATTGCAATCTGTCAGCCAAGTCAAGCTTAGATTATTACCTGATAGCTCTGTCGATGTCCTCGCTCCAGCGCCTGGCGTTGGCTTTATCTTCTGAATATAATATCAGGCTTTCCTCTTTACATGTCAGCTTTACATGGAAAAGAGAGAAATGTCCCAGTGTTAGCTGCAGATACATGGTCACATGTGCTTAACATCAGATGGAGAAATCTAGACAAATAGTCAATTAGATGGCAGAATCTTGACAGTCAAAGCTGAATGAAGAAGTGTATACAAGTAATCAATGTTAGATGCAGACACATAGACAAATAGCTGATGTTAGATGGTGAAATATAGACAACAATCTATGCTGTATGTAACATCTAACAAGGGCTATTTGTCTACATTTCTCCATCTAACAAGGACTATATGTCTACATTTCTCTATCTAACAAGGACTATTTGTCTACATTTCTTCATCTAACAAGGACTATTTGTCTACATTTCTCTAACAAGTACTATTTGTCTACATTTCTTCATCTAACAAGGACTATATGTCTACATTTCTCCATCTAACAAGTACTATTTGTCTACATTTCTCTATCTAACAAGTACTATTTGTCTACATTTCTTCATCTAACAAGACTATTTGTCTACAGTTCTCCATCTAACAAGGACTATTTCTTCATTTAACAAGGACTATTTGTCTATAGTTCTCCATTTAACAAGAACTATGTCTACAGTTCTTTATCTAACAAGGACTATATGTCTACATTTCTCCATCTAACAAGGACTAATTGTCTACATTTCTCCATCTAACAAGGACTATGTCTACATTTCTCTATCTAACAAGGACTATGTCTACATTTCTCTATCTAACAAGACTATTTGTCTACAGTTCTCCATCTAACAAGGACTATTTGTCTACAGTTCTCCATCTAACAAGGACTATTTCTCCATTTAACAAGGACTATTTGTCTATAGTTCTCCATTTAACAAGAACTATATGTCTACAGTTCTTTATCTAACAAGGACTATATGTCTACATTTCTCCATCTAACAAGGACTATATGTCTACATTTCTCCATCTAACAAGGACTATTTGTCTACATTTTTTCATCTAACAAGCACTATTTGTCTACATTTCTCTATCTAACAAGGACTATTTATCTACAGTTCTCCATCTAATAAAGACTATTTGTCTACAGTTCTCCATCTAACAAGGACTATTTGCCTACATTTCTTCATCTAACAAGGACTATTTGTCTACATTTCTCTATCTAACAAGACTATTTGTCTACAGTTCTCCATCTAATAAAGACTATTTGTCTACAGTTCTCTAACAAGGACTATTTGTCTACATTTCTTCATCTAACAAGGACTATGTCTACATTTCTCTATCTAACAAGACTATTTGTCTACAGTTCTCCATCTAACAAGGACTATTTGTCTACAGTTCTCCATCTAACAAGGACTATTTCTCCATTTAACAAGGACTATTTGTCTATAGTTTTCCATTTAACAAGAACTATATGTCTACAGTTCTTTATCTAACAAGGACTATATGCCTACACTTCTCCATCTAACAAGGACTATTTGTCTACATTTTTTCATCTAACAAGCACTATTTGTCTACAGTTCTCTATCTAACAAGGACTATTTATCTACAGTTCTCCATCTAATAAAGACTATTTGTCTACAGTTCTCCATCTAACAAGGACTATTTGTCTACATTTCTTCATCTAACAAGGACTATTTGTCTACATTTCTCCACCTAACAAGGACTATTTGTCTACATTTCTCCATTTAACAAGGACTAAATGTCTACAGTTCTCCATCTAACAATGACTATTTGTCTACATTTCTCCATCTAACAATGACTATTTGTCTACATTTCTCCATCTAACAAGGACTATTTGTCTATATTTCTCCATCTAACAAGGACTATTTGTCTACATTTCTCCATTTAACAAGGACTAAATGTCTACAGTTCTCCATCTAACAATGACTATTTGTCTACATTTATCCATCTAACAAGGACTATTTGTCTACATTTCTCCAACTAGGACTATATGTCTACATTTCTCCATCTAACAAGGACTATTTGTCTACATTTCTCCATCTGACAAGGACTATTTGTCTACATTTCTCCAACTAGGACTATTTGTCTACATTTCTCAAACAAGGACTATTTGTCTTTAGTTCTACTCCTTCCTCAGCTGTAAATTTCGGCAGAAAGTTCTGTATGGTCGTCCACCTCCAGACTTTAGTCTTGTTCCAGAACCTGAGTGTTGCATCCACATCTGTTTCACACATTTGGCTTATTTGTCTGCAGACTTTTGGTTCCCTGCCTCTCAGGCAGATGTTCTCTAAATCCTAAGGATGCCTTTAGTTAGTCGACTTCTACACCATACTTGTTGGGGATGCAGCAGGTCTATTTTTGTTTTCCCCACATCAGGGCCTCGGAACCCACACATGGGAGTTCTCCATCTAACAGTGGCTATTTCTGCTAGTTTGGTTTTATATCTTTTTATGTTAGGTGGCAAAATATAAACAAATTTAGACATAAGAAACTCACTCTGAACACTCCTCCAGTATCTGATTGGCAGACACTCGCCCCGAAGACTTGGTCCACCTTGCAGTGCCGGAGAGGGAGTACACAAGAACATGTGTATGATTTCCCCCCACCATCCAAGAACTTGGGTTTCCCATACAGAAGAATGTCCGAGAACAGAAAGAACATGCGATCATGTGACTTCCCTCCCTTCCGGGATACCTGGTGGTAAGAGAGCAATAATCACATTATATAACTCTTTACATTCAATCAATAATGTCACTAACATTATCACATATCACAAAGTGATAACAAAACAGATGTTAATGAATTAAAGTTACAGCAGCTAAAAATTACAAGTATATTACACCAACTAATGACATTTAGATTATATCAGCAAATAATGACATTTAGATTATATCAGCAAATAATGACATTTAGATTATATCAGCAAATAATGACATGTACATTACACAAGTTATGGGTGGGGGGTGTGTGGTGAAGCGGCTAGATACTCGCCCGCAGATCGGGAGTTTGTGGGTTCACCTCCTAATGGGGCTGGACTTTTGTCAAAATTGACGATGGTTCCCAGGTCGACCCAGCCCTGAGTGGGTACCAGGTAAAGTCTTGGGAAGTAAAAGCAGCGGCATGATGTTGACCACATCCCCCACCGGCTGCTGATTGGTCTGTAAAATACAGGTCTAGCCCTCTATGCCAAATACTCCTGAAGGCACAGAAAATTTCCCTTTGCTTATAATTTAATGTACATTACACCATTTAATAATGGCATTTAAGGTGGTATGAAAACTGCTGATAGAGACGCTGGCAATCTCTATGGCAAACTTCTACACCCCAAGCTAGAAGAGGAGTGACTAAGTCAGTTAGTTTTAAAGGTGGTATGAAAACTGCTGATAGAGACGCTGGCAATCTCTATGGCAAACCTCTACAACCCAAGCTAGAAGAGGAGCGACTAAGTCAGTCAGTATTGAAGGTGGTATAAAAACTGCTAATAGAGATGTCTGGCAATCTCTCTGGCAAACCTCTACATTTCAAGCTAGAAGAGGAGCGACTAAGTCAGTCAGTATTAAAGGTGGTATGACTGATAATTGCTAAAAATGAGCTCACTGATCAACATCTTTCACATGTAAGGAACAGTAGCACTACTTGCTGATCCCACACTGGACCGTACTGGTATCACACCAGCAATGTTGTCAACCATTGTCAGCAACATCACAAGTGTGGAGAATGGGCATGTGCTTCCCGGTTCACTGGTCTGTTTTTATTAGAAGGCTGAGACATCATCATCATGCTCCGGGTGCCTTGTCTGTCCAGTGGGGTGTTGCATGGGATTATATTTGATCATCATAGGTAAATGCTACCGACACCAGCTCAGCTGTACACTGTAGGAGTCAATGGACCATTTCCACACAGTGGGACACAATGGTATATGGTGTTAGCACAGACACATTAGCAATGTGTGATTTGGTCAATCAGGCAGGTGCCGTCTTCACAATGAAGGTCGGCTGCAATGGATCTTTAACAAGCTCTATCTCTTGTTCTGGTTGTACACTCTCTCAGACTGCTGTTCATTCATCTCTTGATGACCTTCCACTTGTACTGTTGTCTGCCTCTTGCTCTCGACCTTTCCCTCTTGAATGGCTTAAAAAGAGTGCCAAAATATTTCCATTGTCTCTTCTTCATTTCTATCAGTAATTCCCTTTTCATTCACAAACTTTCCAGGACTTCTGTATTGGACTTTGTTTTTGTTTCCATGAAAAGGGGGACTGCATGGTCTCAAGCCTTGGTGTCCGCCTCGAGTGCTAGAGGTTCCGAGTTCAGGCCCCGTGAAGGCTGGTAGTTTTTCAAGTGGACTTCTAGTAATTTCCCCCTGGTCTCTGGGTAGTGAGATCGGACACCCATGTGTATTGTTGCGCACGTAAAAATACCTTGGCAGTTGGAAATCGAAAAGAGTAGCTGAACGGCGCTGCCCGGAGCAAAGTTTGGAGTTAAAAATCTACCCAAAATATTTTAGGATCCTCGCCGGTGCTACGGTACCCGTGCACTGCGCTGAGCTACTTCGGATTCAGACTTGAGTTTGAAGAAGAACAGAGCCCTTACGGGTTACTACCCTTGTGCCATGATGCTGATCTGTTCTTCAAACCTTATGTTTCCGTGAAATAGAACCTATTCTTCTGTATATCCACATTTCCAAAGACTTAATTTGATTTCCTAGTTTCCTGTTCATTATCCAAGTTTCTGCAGCATACATAACATTTCATGATTCCCATTTTCAATGTCTTGTTTATCTCTCTAGCTGTCAATAATTTTGCTCATCTTTGTGCAGATAGTTTTAGCCATTCCTGTTCTCTTTTTGATTTCTGTTTACATTCTGCAATCATCTGTTGCTGTGTGTCCAAGATAGGGGGAAACTTCTTACCCGTTATATCATCTCTCTATTTACTGTGTGTTCACTCTTTTCCATTGTTAATTATTAACATAGTTGTTTTTTTCTAATGGTAATGTATAAATCTACTTTGCACACTGCTTGCTGACTTGAACCACTAGTTCTTGTAACTCCTGCTTGCTTTCTGCTAGTAAAACTGTGTCATCAGTGTACCTTAGATTATTTATTATTCTTACATTTAATACTGAATTCACACAAATCTCCAACTTGTTTTAAAATGTTTTCAGCCAATATCTTGCTGGTAGCTTTACTTTCCATTACCTTTCCTGATATTTGATAATGTGAGATGGTTGCCACTTGAACTCTGAAAATGTCAGATGATTCATTTTTGTGTGAGACAGTTTATGAGTGATTCACACGCACTCACACTGCCACCCAAGCAGACATAAAGTGCCATAATGTGCATCAGGTAACTAACCTTCTTGAGAGGTCCCTCCTTGAGAAAGAGCCGCCCAGGAGCCAACAGCTTTGGAGCCGAGCTGTCAAACATCCTCTGTATGGCCAGCATCTTGATGAAGTTCTCATTCTGTCGCACATGTTCGTTGATGTGTGAGGCAATCTCTGCTATTTTCTCGGTGGCTTCTGGACAAAGACATAAAAAACAAGAACTTAACATCTTTTTCTTCAGGGATCTCTGGTCCTGCACTTAATCCCCCTTGGGCCATAAACTGGGATATCCTCTCAAGGTCACTTATATTTCCCTAAAGCTTATTTGTCTGCTCAACTGGGTGTGGGCACATGTTGGCCATTGAGTTAACCGTATGTGTCGATTCCTCCCCACCAAATATATGCTTGACACATTCCGTTTCTAGGGACAGCTTTTATCGAGTTTGCTCTCTAGACAGTTGCAGTCCCCTGCTGACGAGATTCTGTCTTCCCGAGTGGACCACCGCGATCAAAATATTGCGAAGGCAGTGTGGTCGAGGCTGCCAAACCTATCAGTCATTATCCCGCCCTGACACAGCACAACCACAATGCACGCTGCTCACAAGAAAAACACATAGTATCCTGCGTTGGAAATGCGTATAAAATAGCAGTTCATGATTACGAAACAGAATAATCCGAAAGAATTGACAGCCAGTGAAAATAAACACAGCTGCTGTCCGCCATTTTGAAAACGGAACCCTGGCCACATGTTGATTTGAAGCTCTGCCAGGAGAGGAAAATATTGTAAAACATGCTCTGGAGTCTGTTCAGCACAAAGTATGTTTACATTTGTCCCCCCATAAAATTCTTTGCAAAATGTATCCAAATGAAAAGACCCTTTTGACAATTTCATTCAAAAGTAATGCATGGAGAAACTAAGAAACTAGAAGGAGAAAAAAAGCAGAAGACATTAGGAATTCCTGTCAGTTTTTAGAAAACTCCCAGGAGGTAAAAAAGCTATAACACGGAGCAGACAGGCAGACCTGCTAGCTGTTGCATCATCCCAGCCTGCAAGTCAATTTAAAAAAAGATGGATTTTTCATATTTAGCCATTAGTTCTTTTTAAGGGAATTAATCATTAAATATAAATGGAGCAAAACCAAAATAACCGCTTTCCTTCCATCTGACCAAGACAACAGGTTTTTTTTTTTTTTTTAAATATAAGAGCCTAGACAGCAATATGTCTGTGAAAATTCTCTTCCTTTCACATTAAATTGTGGAGCTCTCAGTAATGAGCATAGTGAACGATTTCATCAGAACATCGCTGTTATGGAGTGAAGGTATCGAGGCAATAGGAGCCCTTTTATGCTTTCCCATTACCGTTTGACTGTGGCAAGAGACACCTTATCAATTGACTACAAGAAATACACAAAGGGAGCTGGAACAGTGACTGAATAATGATGGAATGGGTTCAAATATTTGTTAAGAAACATTTTAATTGAATGTTAAATAATACTTTTATTTCTGCTATCACTTTATGTTAAAATATAAATCATCCATTTTTATAATGCTAAAGTAAAAAGATCCACTGGTTACCTGAAAGAATTGAACAGGCATACATTATTTTTATTACTGTAATCTAAATTCATCACTGAACACACACTCTCACACAAACCACACAGCCATTTGTGAATTTCAAGATGACACGTGAAATCAGCAGGTCAAAATCAAGAGGAAATGGTGTGTTTAAATTCTGATACAAATAACTTGTGAATATGTGTCGGCCAGTGTTCAGAGACCATGATGACCTGTCTCATACTCGCCAGTGTTTTCAGAGGATACTAGTTAAATTATTTACAGTTGATTCTGCATCACAGTACCTATCTTGTCCTGTTTATTGTCTGTAGAATATATCTGTATGCTACTATTGGTTGGTTTGTATACTGTTTCCAGTTTCTAACTTAAAAAAAAATTATTAAGTATACAAATGCAGAGTTGAAAATATAGTACTGCTGTATTTTACAATAATAGTTAACAGGAAAAACTATCTAACATTTCATCCTTACATTATCAACAATGCATGTGTATGCATATAATCTGGAGGCTTGTAGACAAATACAGCTTACTTACTTCTTCTTCTTCTTCTTTCGTTTGCCTGAAATAAGTTGTCTATATCAGCAATTTTGTCTCTTGTATAAATTTCACTGTCGTTGTTAGTTCATTCAGTGGTCCATAGAGTTTACGTTCCACTGTTGTTATTTCTGGCCAAAAGGTTTGCCTTAATGTGTCAAAATCAGTGCAGTCCTGGAGTACATGCTCTGCTGTCTGGGGCACCTTTCCACAGGTGCACATGGCTGATACGCACATCTTGAATTTTGTGTACATGTGGTTACGTAATTGGTTGTGCCCTGTTCTGAGGCGGAGGATAATGACTTGTTCTGGTCTGTCCATAATAAAATAGTCGTCTTGTGCTGGGGCTGGTGGTTTCCTGATAGATTTAATGATTCTTTTCTTTTGGTGGTATGTGACTGATACATCCGGCTGCTCTTTTGTCGCACCTTCCCCTGCCAGTTGATCAGCTTTCTTATTTCCAGGCACTCCACAATGAGACGGTATCAACTGCATTACGACTCTTCGCTGAAGGCTGAGTTGTGTCAGCAGTGTTTGCAATACCAGTAGTTTCCTAGACTGGAGTGCTTCAAGTACTGATTTAGCATCTGTCAGCATTACCACATACTGTGAGCCAAGGTTGGTATTTAGCAGTTTCTCTGTAGCTATCTTGATAGCCTGGGTTTCTGCATCATAGTTATGGCAGTACTTCCTGGTTGGTAAACTGGACTTATCCCTAGTACCATCTGAGAATTCTATGTACACTCCAGTGCCACCATTTCTAACTGCACTTTCTGCGGACCCATCTGTATAGACTCTGACCCATTGTTCTTGTTGGTATTCTTCATCAATATAACTGAGGGTGGCCATTCTGAGTTGTATACTATCTTGCTCTTTCTTGTCAAATATCCCTTTCACATTTGTCTGGATCTGTACCGTTAGTTTACATTTTTCTCTCCATGGGGTTTGTTTCGGAATACTTTTAAGTGGGCAACCATTTTCTGGAAGGTCAGGAGTTTGTCTACATATTCTTTTAGCTTGGTGTATAAAGCTGCTTCTTTTTAACCGTCCCAAGGCTAGGTTCTTAAATCTATTTTCCATCGGGTGATCTGGCATACTGAGGAACTTTTCAGCTTGTATTTGCAACTTTGTATCTCTGCGTTCTCTCAGTGCCTGTGTTTTCCCAGCTTTCTCCATTTCTAATATGGGGGTTGATTTCATCCCTCCTGTGATGACTCTGAGCGCTTGATTTTGCACTTTGTCCAACTCCTTTAATGTGGTACTAGATGCTAAACACCATGCAGTTGACCCATATTCCAAGTGTGGAAGTATGTTCTGGTATACTTTATTGAGTATTTTCCCATTGGCTCCCCATGTGGTTCCACTTAGTTTTCTTAGTATTGCTGTCTTCATTATGGCTTTGGTTGCAGCCTTGTTGATATGTTTTCTCCATGTCAACCTGTCATCAAATGTGACTCCTAGGTATGTGGGCTCTTTATCATCTCTTAGGGGTATTCCGTTTATTTTGATGGTGCCGGCTTTTTATTTTGGGGAGAGGATGAATAGTGTGGTGCTACATTTGTCTGTGTTGATGCTGACACACCATCTATTGGCCCATGCCTCAAGTGCATATGTAGCCCGCTGTAGTGTTTTTGTGGCTATTGTTGCATGTTCAATGGTGAAGAACAGTACCAGGTCGCCGGCATACATCGCCATTTTGATTCCATTTGGTATCTCAGCAACCAGATCGTTGATGAATAATAGGAAAAGTGTGGGCGACAGGACACCACCTTGAGGGACGCCTTGTCGCAGTAGAACTTTTTTACTTTTAAAACCATCTACCTGTACCCGGGCTCTTCTGTTATGTAGATATGCTTTAATCCAATTGTACATATTTCCATTTATTTTATAGTGTCTCAATTTCTTCAAAAGCCCCTCCTTCCAAACCTTATCAAAAGCTTTCCTTAAATCTATCCATGCCACGAGTACCAGTTTCTTATCTTGAAAAGCATCCTCTATTTCTTGGGAGAGGTATGTTGTCTGGTCTTCCGTAGAGTAGAACTTTCTAAAGCCCGCCTGCTGTGGTGTAATGATGTTTTCACTTTCAATGTACCACTGTAGTCTGAGGTTGGTGATGTGCTCCATTGTTTTACAGAGAGGCTGATCGGTCTGTAGTTAGAGGCATTAGAACTGTCTTTCCCAGGCTTTATAATGGGGTATCATAATTGCCTCTCTCCAGATCTGCGGAACATTCCCTGTTGCACAGCAAGCATTAAATATCTTTAAAAGCTTTGTTTCGGCTACTTTTCTTAAGTTTCTGATCATTTCGTTTGATATATCATCTGCTCCTGGTGACTTCCGCATTTTCAGCTTTGAAATGGCCAACTCCAGTTCATTAAGTGTAATTGGCACCTCTAGCGCCTCTGGTGTTATTTCTTTCTGACTTCTAAATTGTGTCTTTTCTTGAATTTCGTGTTTTTTCTCTAAACTGATTACAGCTAACTGCCCGGGTGTTTTCCAGGGCTTTATTTTGACTAGGAAAAGACCCACTAACCACCCCCCAACCACTCCCCCCCCCCCCCCCAACAACAAAACACAAGCATTCTGTGAATGGTAATAAATTAGTAGTTTGCTGAATTGTTTGTGTTGGGCAATAAATGTACAAATGTTTTAGTCAAGCTGTAAACTGCAACACAACATTCCCACCATCTTTTACAAGAGCAAATGCTGCAGACTGGTAAACATTTCTAGGGACATCTGTTTCTCTCTTTCTCTCTCTCTCTCTCTCTCTCTCTGGATGTGCATGTGTTTTTGAGTGCACACATGTGCTTGGTTGGGGAGATGTTGTCCATTGCCAAATAAGAACATGTGGGGACCACCCAAAAAGATAAAACTTGTGTGTGTATGGTGTGTATGTGTGGTGCATGTATGTGGTGCATGTGTGTGATGTATGTGTGTCCATACATACATGCATGTCCTTTTCTCTCTCCATCTTGTTATGTATGTGTGCCCACCTCTCTGTGTATATTTTGTTCATATATAAATGCAATTTTTTTCTCCCTCTCTTTATGTATCATGTATCACAACCCACGCCACTGCACACTGCCATGCGTGCTCAGTCCCCCAATGCAGCAGCCACTCGAAGATACTTCTACTAATTGTGTGCCCACCTCTCTGTGTATGTGTGTCCATATATACATTTTTTTTTAAAAATCTCTGTACCTATGCCTACTTCTCTGTATATACGTGTGTGTGGTTAAAGATAAGTGGCATGCTGAACATGTGTCTTGTGTGAATTAGCGTGCAAATTTTAATAAAAATATGTCTGTGAAACACCCCCACCCCCATGCTATTTTTAGTTAATATTTTCAAATCCTGACCTCAGCCAACAGCATGAACTTTATGTCTCGTAAACAGGTCACTATAGACATGCTGAAAGGGTGGCATTTAAGGGGAATTGACTCCAAAAGAAAGTGTCAGTTTTGTGGCTTCTCAGGATTGTTCAGTTGTGGGTGGTGCCACAAAGCTCAGAGATAACCACACTGCCAGTACCCACACACACCCACTATCAACCAGAACAGGACCCATTCACCCACAGTTTAGAATGTAAGCCAGAACAGAACCCACACACAGACTCACCTTTCAGCTTCTGGTAATCATGGTGCTCCGCTGGTGTGTGGTTCAACAACTCCTCTAGCAACAGCTTGTACCTGAAGATTTGAATGAATATTTCCTGTTATCATCTACACTGCACACCTGAGATCATCTCAGCTCCTACATACAAATGCAAACACATGATCACTCAAACATCAGCACAGATGTGGTGCTAAGAGTATCGGTAGAGTGCACATTACATACATTCAGACTTTACATTCATCATCATCATAATCATCATCATCATAAGCCACTTCTGCCGTTAAGCGGCGTGGGGAGGAATGATTTGCGATCCAGTGCGCGTTGGCTGCCACCGGCTATTGTCTTGCCGTAAAAGGCGTAGAGTGTCTTTAATGTTGTCGATCTATTTTATTGCGGGCATCCTCTTGCTCTTGTAGCTGATCTTCTGAGATGTAGTGCTTGCGATGGTATTTGATCTTGCTGCATTCTATGGCCAAACCACCTGATCTGTTTCTCAATGAATCTAGTACAAGGTGTTGTTCCCACAATCCGTCTGATAGTAACATTATTCACTGGATCTCAGATGGTTAAGTTGGCAGCTTTTCTTAGGCACCTCATCTCGCAGGACTGTCACATCACAGCTGACATTTACTCAGATGTCTGCTCTATTAGTTAGTTAGTTGCGTATCCTTTACAGAGCAGATGGATCACCACAGTCTGGTGAGATTGATGCAGCAGGGAGTGATGAGAGGTTCTGGCAGATGCTCGAGGCTCAGAGGAAAGGCAAGACGGACGTTTAATCAGAATGCTACTGGCACCATTAGTATCGGAACTCTTCGCTGGCTGCTGAGGATGGGGACAGAGCCTTTATGGGAATGCCCCGAGTGCTGTGATGTCGTTTCTTGAATCAAATCATTTATATCCTTTACAGGACGTTGCATAACCAACCCCACCATTTTCTGGCTGTTGTGGTTTATCTGGGCAAATCTATGTTCCGAAGTCTTCACTGCTTTCTAAACGGCCGATTCTCGATACCACTGTCGAAAGCAAGGCAAGACAGTCTGCTGTCACATCCCCTGCAGCTAGCATCAAACCCGGCACTATGAACGGTGTTCACAATGCCTAAACCACAGACGCTGACTATTCTATTAATACTGACATATACTCAGATATCCGGTACATCAGTACTTGTATACTTCACTGGACACCTGAAGCAACAACAGGGGAACTCAAGAAGAAGAAGATATACTCAAAATGATTTTTTTTTTTTTTTTTTTTTTTGTTTTATCTATTACTGCTTTCTGATGCTAGACACACACAAACACCCCCCCCCCCCTCCCCCCCTTTTTTGTTTTTCACATTTTACCTAGTTTAAGTTTCAAACTTTGTGTCTCATATGGCCATTGTGACGACCATTTTTGCTAGCGGAAAGTCAGTCCTCCCCCTTTATCACGTCCAGGAGTGTACAACCGTGTCAGTCCATTCATGTTTGACCCACTATGTGAGTGTGTCTCCCCTTGCTCAAACTGTTTGCTACATTCAAGTCTATGTCCTCCTTTTTCTCACCACCCTGAACTCTCATTTTCTCTCTCTTTCTCTCTTTTCCTTCCTCTCATTAAACAGTAAAAACACATACACTGGTTATTATTTTTCTCTCCCTATCCAAAGCTACAACTTTTTCCTTTCTTTCTTTCCCCCTCCACTGTCCCGCTTTTTCTTTTACAAAAGAGTATGTATTATTTCTCTCCCTTGCTCTCTCTATCTCACACACACACACATACAAAAGAGCATGTACACATAATGATATTCTCTCCGCCCTTCCCCTCCTTCCATTCTTATAAAAGAGTGAGTACATCACATACCTGGGTATTCTCTGGATGGGGGTGATCAAAAGAGCATTCAGTTTCAGCCCCTTGACTTCTGGTCTCTCCTCCTGCCTGGACACAAACCTGGCAAAATCTGCACTCTTGCTCTGCCATTCCTGATAGGACAAACATAAGCTTCTTTTTATTCAAATAGCAAAAGGATGCCTACCTCTATCAGGTAGTAGATTAAATATTTAGGCTTATCGTATATTCAGTTGCAGGAATTGTCTTCATACTTCAGGCTGAATAAACCTCATACAATAAGATTCCTCAATTAATTTCATTCACAGTGCTATACTAGTAAGTAAATTTAAAGAACTGTGTTCACACCTTAAAGCATACTGGATATACTAGAGCCAGCTTGATGTTTGAATAAATATAATTAACAAAGAGACAATGAATTGATCGGCACTTATAGAAAGAAGTAGAAAGACAGAAGGACACACTAGACAACAGTAAAATCAAAAGCGAATAGTTACCGTGCCGGGAATCGAACCTGTCACCTATAAAATGACGTGTTTGTTCCGCTTTGGAAACAAGCATATTAAAAACACAACCAACTAGGCACCCCAAGAAAGGTGTCTTCACTGGCATGTCGATCAGAGAGTTTGAAATCCACATCTATGAAATACAGACAGAATTCATCTCAAACCATAGGTTTCAGAAATTTATATTAACAAAGAATAGGTAGAATAACAAACGCAGCAATAATTTACGAGCACACATATGTTCGCATAGATAAATCAACACTCAATGTGTGATTAATATCAGGTTGGCCAGCTTTGCTTCTCAGAAAACTGGGGTTTTGTTTATTTTTGTAAATCAGCACTCTCGATGTAAGTGGAAACATGGATATGCCCAAGGTGCCAGTGGGCTTGGTTTGACCAGCATCTGCTGGAGGACTTGATCTGCAGAGGCTTCTCGGGACAGACTGTCTAGTTTCACATCAGTAGACTGGAGGTCTACACACTGACTGTCTAGTTTCACATTAGTAGACTGGAGGGCTACACACCGACTGTCTAGTTTCACCTCAGTAGACTAGAGGTCTTCACACTGATTGTCTAGTTTCACCTCAGTAGACTGGAGGTCTACACACTGACTGTCTAGTTTCACCTCAGTAGACTGCAGATCTACACACTGACTGTCTAGTTTCACCTCAGTAGACTGGAGGCCTACACACCAACTGTCTAGTTTCACCTCAGTAGACTGAAGGCCTACACACCAACTGTCTAGTTTCACCTCAGTAGACTGGAGGTCTACACGCTGACTGTCTAGTTTCACCTCAGTAGACTGGAGGTCTACACACTGACTGTCTAGTTTCACCTCAGTAGACTGGAGGCCTACACACCAACTGTCTAATTTCACCTTAGTAGACTGGAGGTCTACACACTGACTGTCTAGTTTCACATCAGTAGACTGGAGGTCTACACATTGACTGTCTAGTTTCACCTCAGTAGACTGGAGGCCTACACACCAACTGTCTAGTTTCACCTCAGTAGACTGGAGGTCTACACACTGATTGTCTAGTTTCACCTCAGTAGACTGGAGGTCTACACACTGACTGTCTAGTTTCACCTCAGTAGACTGGAGGTCTACACACTGACTGTCTAGTTTCACCTCAGTAGACTGGAGGTCTACACACTGACTGTCTAGTTTCACCTCAGTAGACTGGAGGTCTACACACTGACTGTCTAGTTTCACCTCAGTAGACTGGAGGTCTACACAGTGACTGTCTAGTTTCACCTCAGTAGACTGGAGGTCTACATACTGACTGTCTAGTTTCACCTCAGTAGACTGGAGGTCTACACACTGACTGTCTAGTTTCACCTCAGTAGACTGGAGGTCTACACACTGACTGTCTAGTTGTTTGTTTCACCTCAGTAGACTGGAGGTCTACACACTGACTGTCTAGTTTCACCTCAGTAGACTGGAGGTCTACACACCAACTGTCTAGTTTCACCTCAGTAGACTGGAGGTCTACACACTGTCTAGTTTCACCTCAGTAGACTGGAGGCCTACACACCAACTGTCTAGTTTTACCTCAGTAGACTGGAGGTCTACACACTTACTGTCTAGTTTCACCTCAGTAGACTAGAGGTCTACACACCAACTGTCTAGTTTTACCTCAGTAGACTGAAGGTCTACACACCAACTGTCTAGTTTTACCTCAGTAGACTGGAGGTCTACACACCCACTGTCTAGTTTCACCTCAGTAGACTAGAGGTCTACACACCAACTGTCTAGTTTTACCTCAGTAGACTGAAGGTCTACACACTGACTGTCTAGTTTTACCTCAGTAGACTGGAGGCCTACACACTGACTGTCTAGTTTTACCTCAGTAGACTGGAGGCCTACACACTGACTGTCTAGTTTTACCTCAGTAGACTGGAGGTCTACACACCGACTATCTAGCTTCACCTCAGTAGACTGGAGGTCTACACACCAACTGTCTAGTTTTACCTCAGTAGACTGGAGGCCTACACACCGACTGTCTAGTTTTACCTCAGTAGACTGGAGGTCTACACACTGTCTAGTTTTACCTCAGTAGACTGGAGGTCTACACACTGACTGTCTAGTTTTACCTCAGTAGACTTGGAGGTCTACACACTGACTGTCTAGTTTTACCTCAGTAGACTGGTGGTCTACACACTGTCTAGTTTTACCTCAGTAGACTGGAGGTCTACACACTGACTGTCTAGTTTTACCTCAGTAGACTGGAGGTCTACACATTGACTGTCTAGTTTTACCTCAGTAGACTGGTGGTCTACACACTGTCTAGTTTTACCTCAGTAGACTGGTGGTCTACACACTGTCTAGTTTTACCTCAGTAGACTGGAGGTCTACACACTGACTGTCTAGTTTTACCTCAGTAGACTGGAGGTCTACACACTGTCTAGTTTTACCTCAGTAGACTGGAGGTCTACACACTGACTGTCTAGTTTTACCTCAGTAGACTGGAGGTCTACACACTGACTGTCTAGTTTCACCTCAGTAGACTGGAGGCCTACACACTGACTGTCTAGTTTTACCTCAGTAGACTGGTGGTCTAGTTAGATAACGCCAGCTACTAACCTGTTTGCCAGAACTGTGTTAGTGGTATGAGGAAGCATTAAATGATGATGGTGATGTTAGATGGTTCATGAAGGCAGGCATTCTCCATTCAAACTAATCTGACTCACAAAGCTTTCTGAGCAATTTAATTTCACACATAAAGGTGGCTGAAAGTATTAATCTGATAAATAAAGTAATTAACATCATACATAAAGCTGTCTGAACTAGGTTTAGGTTTAGACAATGGATCAACATCATGGCACAAGTGCTCCGTTCTACTTCCGACTCAAGCCTGAGTCCGAAGAACCTCAGCCCCGTGCACAAAAACCTTAGCACTGGCGAGGATCCTGAAATACTTTGGGTAGATTTTCAACTCCAAATTGTGCCCAGGCAGCACCGTTAGGCTACTCTTTTCAATTTCCAAATGCCAAAGGATTTTTTACGTGCGCAGCAATATACAATATGTCTAAATTAATTAATCCTTAGGCTGTATCAATTAGTTAATTATATTTATAATGCCATTAATCCACTGAAGTATGAAAAACATGCTTAACGAAGGTGGGAAGGTGAAAAAACACCCAGGATCAATCAGACATTTCCGCATCAGTCTTCACTGACAACTGTCAACAACTGTTGCTGGCTTTTGTTCAGTAATGGCTAATGCCGAAACGTCAAATATTTCTCTCTCTGTGTATGTTTCTCCCCCTTCCTGCCTTCGTTAACCTTCTTTGCTACAGTTGAGTGGATTAATTTCTTGATACCAGACTGACTAAAGCCAGCCCAGGTTTTACATAAATCCAGGGGGACTAACTAACCCCACAGAGGAAGCTGTTAACCCAAAGACAAGACAAAGCTATTAACCCAAAGACAAAGCTATTAACCCAAAAACAAAGCTATTAACCCAGAGACAAAGCTATTAACCCAAAGACAAAGCTATTAACCCAAAGACAAAGCTATTAACCCAGAGACAAAGCTATTAACCCAAAGACAAAGCTGTCCGCACTCACCTGTAAAGTGGTCAAGGCACACTGGTGATTTCTGGCATACATGGCATACAGCTTGAGAAATGGGCCCAGGTAAGTGAATGCCTGGCCAACAGTGGTCTGTTCCATCTGCTCCAAGAGTGTCAGGTTCACCTCCCTGATCTGCTCCAGGTTGCTGAACAGTTTGGCATGCACATCATCCGGGACAATGTAGGCGAACTTTAGTGGGAAGTCAAAGAACTGCAAGGTGGAAGCAATTATATAAGATAAAGACTAAAGAAGAGAGAAGTCACAAGCCTACAAGACAGTTGAAAGATATAATACTCTCCCAAATTTATAATGTACTAACAACATACCATTATACATGTATTTACTGCTGTAACTGGTTTCTTGTAATGGTGACTGCAATACAAGGAATTCCAGTAAAAATTGACTAAAAAGCTTAACCAAAGGGGGAAGCAGAAAAACGTGCATAAAACAACACAAATAACGTTACGTTTCGGCCGAGCAACCTTTGTCAAACATGAAGTGAACTAGTTACCTTTGTGTAGTTCACTTCATGTTTGACAAAGGTTGCTCGGCCGAAACATTACGGTATTTGTGTTGTTTTGTGCACATTTTTCTGCTTCCCCCTTTGGTTAAGCTTTTTAGTCAATTTTTACTGGAATTCCTGGTTTCTTGTAGTTGACTGGTGCACATTGGACACTGTTTTATGAATGAAGTCAGGATATGAATATATTAACTAAAAATAGCATTTAGGAGGGTTCTCCATTAAGCCAAAAAAGCTTTTTTAAAGCAGAGAGGATGTCCAATTTTCCTGTAAGCCACAGCGATAGAGGTCAGGGGATTATGGCATGAGTCACCCAATACATACGTTTGTTCAGACCCTGAAGAATTCATTCTATTTAATGCTTTACCTTGTTCATGTCTATTAATTATTCCATTCCAGTATCTTTGTATATATATATATATATATATATATATATATATATATATATATATATATATATATATATATATATATATATATAGATATATATATATATATATATATATATATATATATATATATATATATATATATATATATATATATATATATATATATATATATATATATATATTTATATTTTATGTTAATATAGATAAATAAAGTTATTATGAATTTTTTAATGACCTTTGTTAACTGATGATTTTTCTGGAATTACAATATGCCATGCATCAGCCTGCTTCAGGATGATTCCATTTTTTTGCATTTTAGAGTGTCCATTTTTTTTTTAATTAACTCTTATTTCTATTCACTTAATCTAGGCCTCAATAAACAAGGTAGACCGACTACTTTCCTTCCTCACCACATACCATTGCTAAGGGGAAAAAAAATTGTCTGGTTGCTTTTTGTTTAACTGGTTGCCAATAATCCTACCTCTAGTGGGAACAGAAACCAGACCAGTGTCAGCTGGCAATCACGCTAGCCATCAGGCTACCGTAGCTCCAATAACTACCTCATCATGTTGCAGGTCTTTTGCAAAACGTCGCCTGAAAGAAACTCTGTCTCTCCCCAGCTCTCCTGCACTTGCCAACCCAAGGTGTTGTGTATATCATGTGCTGACTATCTCCTGCACCTCTTTCCTGGTAACATAACTTCTGCTATTATTATTTCCAATCTGTCATGGGGCTTGATATGGCCCTAATATTTCAGTTTCTACACAAAACACTTGCCTACCTTGTTGACCAGCAGCTCTAATAACTACCATCACATCCACACACAACACTTGCCTACCTTGTTGACCAGCTCCAATAACTACCTACACATCCACACACAACACTTGCCTACCTTGTTGACCAGCTCCAAAAACTACCTACACATCCACACACAACACTTGACTACCTTGTTGACCAGCTCCAATAACTACCTACACATCCACACACAACACTTGACTACCTTAATTAATGACTAAATCCACCAACCACGTACATACCCACAGACAACACATGACTACCTTGTTGACCAGCAGCTCCAATAACTACCTACACATCCACACACAACACTTGCCTACCTTGATGACCAGCTCCACTAACCACATGCATACCGATACACAATACTGGCCTACCTTGTTGACCAGCTCCAATAACTAACTACACATCCACACACAACACTTGCCTACCTTGATGACCAATTCCACTAACCACATGCATACCGATACACAATACTGGCCTACCTTGTTGACCAGCTCCAATAACTAACTACACATCCACACACAACACTTACCTACCTTGTTGACCAGCTCCAATAACTACCTACACATCCATACACAACACTGGCCTACCTTGTTGACCAGCTCCAGATGCTGTAGATAAGTTTTCTCAGTCTCGAAGAGCTCCTTGTAGACTTTCCTGCGGCGTCTCTCCCGGCGGGCAGATTCCTGGGCAAACTTATCGCTTGGACTTGCCGCATACAAGACAGCTTCCCCCGAAAGGGACATCTTCCCCCCTGTGAAATATCCAATATGATAGCGACTTGAGATATCATAACAGAATTGTCACCAGTCACAAACACCACATTTACTTCACATCATATTTTTCCCAGTAAAGTTGTAGAATTTTTCCATCGCTTTCCACAGGCGATGTAGGCCGGCGGTTCTCAAACTGGGTGCTGTGAGCGTATGCCAGGGGTGCAGCGGCAATAATCAAGAATTTTTCCAAATCTGCTTGAGATCAGCAAAGACAGCAGTTGAACACAAAAATACTATGATGGAAGCCATTAAAAATTCTGGATGCAGTTGTATTCAGATTGATTTGATTTATTTCAAGAACGGACATCACAGCACTCAGGGCATTCCCATAAGCGCTCTGTCCCCATCCTCAGCAGCCAGTGAAGAGTTCCGATACTAATGGTGCCAGTTGCATTCTGATTAAACATCCGCCTTGCCTGTTCTCTGAGCCTAGAGCATCTACCAGAACCTCTCATAACTCCCTGCTGCATCAATCTCACCAGACTGGTGATTCGCTCCTCCTAACTGTACACGCTCTCCCACAAGGCACTAACCACACCATGCATCAGTATCCCACCAAGTTGTGCAGATACAGCCAGTCTGTCTGCCTGCTCATTTCCCAACATATCGGCGTACCCCGTGAAAAAATCCAGACAATATACTCCTCACCTGAGTCCTCTGCAGTGAAGCATGCCTGTCCTGACCTTCCTCAGCATACTTTCTGAGTCAGTTACAGTTCAATTGTATTTAGAAAACAATGCTACTGCAGTGCATTCTCAATGTATGCTTAAAAAAAAAAACAGATAAGAAGCAACCTCCAATTGATCTGAGAGTATATTTAACTAAACTTCCCCTAAACATTAAGGAAATAATGAAAAATTCATCTAAACAGTATTACTCATTACATTAAAGACAAATGAACATTACATTTGCACCTTTTTTTTCTTTTCTTAAGTATTAAAACTGCTTTAAGGGTAGATGTGCTGTGAAAATTGTTTGCCCGACAAGGGTGCTGTGGCAACAAATGTTTGATAAATGTTGATGTAGGCAGTCAAGAGCCAGGCTAATCACCTTCCATTCTCAGAACATTCCTACTGTAACAGAGCGAGCTCATAGCTTGTTTGTTAGGGGGCACAAAGCTAGAATATTAGGATATCAACACATTTTGGCAGCCTTGACATTCCCTTTTCCAGAATCTTCTTTTCCCGCCAAAACAAGCTATTGACATAAAACTGATGTTGTCTGGCCTTGGCCTTCTTTCTAGAAGTTTTGAAATGCGTTTTCATTATGTGACCCAACCTTGTCTCACTAGTAAATACCTTGTTGACGTGCCCTATCAAAGCAAACGCAATTTTCCTTGTTTTTTTAGAAGCTTCTATGACCTCAATTGTAAGTTTAACTACTATATCTGCGTAGAATAGGATGATAAAATCTGATGCAATCGAGATATAATTAGCAAATCCCACGTGAGAACCTACCTAGTAAACAAGTTGAGGCGTACTAGAATATTCTAGAAGCAGACAAAGCGAGAAGAAAACAAATACCTAGAATTCCAGCATCCAAGTATAAATAACGAGTAACAAAGCACTTTAGCAATTCTTCAGTCCACAAGACTCAAGAGAGGAGAGACCAGTCACATGGGCTCTCAAGACAGAGACGACACACAAAATACATGGATCCATGGAGAACAGAGACATATTAGGAACACTATAGAGATGTTAGAGTCAACGATCAAGACGTTAGTACCAAACAGCACTAGAAGCCAGGTGGCAGTTACAGACACTAGAACCAGTTAACAAAGTAACTAGAGATGAAGAACACAACGCGAACCTACGAGTATTTAACCACAGAGAGAACACAGCGCTATTCAGAATATCATTGATATTTGTAACATTGCTGAAGTATCACAATAAAGAAAGTACAGACGAGAACAGTTGTGTCCAGACATTTTTTATTACACAAGCATCAGAGTCACGTGACAAGCATGCAGCTAGCAAGACATCATCATCATAACCACTATCGACACAACCATCTTTCTCCTCGTCTATAATCTTCCAACCGACTCCTCCTGTAGCAAACCTAAAGACGAACCTGGGTGTGACATCAACGTATGCAACAAAGAAGACAGCTGTGCTACACTACCACTCATTTGTAATGCTGTTGTCAACCTGCGAATTCAGGTCAATTAGCGATCCAAATATCAAGTGCAGCTTGGGTCTATAAAGATACAGGGCTATCACATTATGTCCACAGTAAGTTGCAAAACAATTGTACTTTTTTAACTCTTTGAGTCCCAAGGAACACATCATACGTTCATAGGTTCCTACCTAGAAGCCCAATGAACGCATGATGCACCGATTTTATTACTTTCTTTACTACCCCCTGGGCCTGGGAGGCTAAACCCCCTGGGACTCAAAGAGTTAATTTTATAATATTATTATATTTATTGTTCCACTGGCAAGACAGACATCAGCGTGGCTAATTAGTTAAATTAGGAATGCAATACATCCTGTTAAGTGATTTTGTGTGGTTTTATTTTATTTATGTATGAACTGATGAAGGCTCAGTAGCTGCAACGTTCACGTTTCGTTTGTATTTGTTATTTTATGAAGCACACCCAGACTTTTTTATTCGGTTTTATATCTTTCAATATTTTATTCATTCATTCAGTAGCATGTCCCTCGCGGAACCTCGCTGCCATAACAACCCTCCGGAAAACCTTCCTATCCTGAGCAAGATGTCCTGCGTCTGATACACCCATCTGGAGATCATCTGCCACATCCTGCACCCATCTTCTCCTTGGCCTTCCTCTTCCTCTCTTCCCAGGCATATACCCCTCCATTATTGTTCTCTCTAGACTTCCATGACGTTTCAAGTGACCAAAATATTTCAATTTTCTTTGTTTTATTGTCTTTACTAGCCAACCCTCTTCAATATTCAGCTCTTGAAGTATGGATGCATTTGTTCTTTTCTTTACCCAAGATATTCTTAGAACCTGTCTGTAACATTTATATTCAAATGCATTTATGCGCTGTTCCGCTTGTTTAGTATTATTAATATTTTATTAATTTTAGAAAAATTGGGCTCTCCTTGCAGCTTTGGACGGCGTAGTGGTAGTTCTCTCCCTTGGCCGCATTGCAAACAAGGCGCGGAAAAGTCACGAATCAAACAAGACAGTGAGGTCGACATCAGGGCTGCCAATGCTTGGTTGTGTCCCCCAGATCTGGGTTTTTCTTTTGACGCTGCGGGGACATCTGGGATTTTTTTTTTTTTTTTTTTTTTTTTTTTTGTGTTTTGCCGATCTGTATGCTTTAATGACCGATAAATTTGCGTGGTTAGGGTTAGCGGTAGGATTAGGGGTAGGGTTAGGATTAGGGGTAGCGTTAGAGTGACGGTTAGGGTTAGGGGTAGCGTTAGGGGTAGGGGTTAGGGTTGGGTGTAGCGTTAGATGTGACAATTTTGACGCCGTAGTTCCCTATAATCGCGCACAGTCACATACACACCCAAACAGTCAACGGACGGTGGATGCTACTGACACGGACAATTCGCCACCGATTGGGCACCAGCCGCGCGCTATTACCGTCATATTTGGCACACTTTCAGTGGTGCCACTCCCACAAGAATCAGATTGTCGCCCAGTATTTGGAAATTCTACGTCACCATTGTCGTATGGCAGTTTTGTCGCGCACCTTACTTACAGGATATTTTCACAAATCCCTCAGGTGCTCTGAGACAGGAGTGTTTTGAATGGTGGCTCTCGTTCGTCTAGAGGCCTAACCCTCGGTTCAAACTTTCCATTCAACCTGTCTCAGGGATGAGGTGACACGAGCTCTGACTCCACAGGGTTATTATGAACACTTGGGTACCTCTCGGCCAGACGTCCTCACCACTGTTTGCCCCCAGACTGGATTAATGTAAATCCAGTCGAACAAATAATCAACAGTGAATACGATAAGACAAGACTACGTTTATAAATGCCACAAGGAACTCCAATTAGACAAAACTCTCCTAAGAACTAGAAGGCGGATGAACTCAAGAATCAATGTAATAGGTTCCCTGTAACCAAGCTGAAGAAAAATAACTTGAAGAATTAACTGAAAGAATATTGAATACTTTCAAGAACAAAGTTAGTGCGAGAGTCTTCCTCCTACTCTACGTTTCTGTCCAGTATCATCATGGCTGAGGAATCTGATGGATTGGAAAGGTCCACTTAGATTTAAGCCGTCACACAGGGTCACTTTGACTTATCTGTTTAGATCTTATATCTCCTCTGGATGCTGGAGCGAAGTTTCCGACTGCCGTACTTTACGATAGGACTTCTCAGAAACGAGGCTGCTTCTCTGGATGCCGGAATAGATCTTCACGTCGCCAGACTTCCCAACATTATTTCACCAACAGGAACAGTTTCTGGCGTTGATCGAGAACAGTCACCTT